GAAAGAGCAGTTGTCGGTTGGTGTTCGTTTTTTTGATATGAAAAAAAAAATGAAATCCGTGAAGAATTTTTGGGATTCGTTGAGCTAGATGCAATGGACACTCATACGATTGCTACCAGTATTGCCAAATTCCTCGAAAGCACTGGTCTGGACCCTGAGAAATGTGTGGGCCAGGGTTATGACGGGTGTTCAACGATGGCTGGGAAAGACAATGGCGTACAAAAACGTTTGAGAGAACAATTTCCGAAAGCTATATTCGTGCACTGTGCCAGTCATAAGCTTAATCTTGTGATCAATGACTTGAACCAAGTGTCGCAAGTTCGGAACACAGTAGGCACGGTGAAGGATATCATCAATTTTTTTAAGGAATCCACGATTCGCAGGAAATACATTCCGAACATTCCCAGTTTCTGTGAGACTCGCTGGTCTCAGAAATACAAAAGCATTTCAGCTTTTAACCTGCATATCGATGCCATAATTGAAGCTCTTGAAAAGCTTTCACAGGAAGGCAACAGCGCTACTCGCAAAACCGCTTATCAGCTTTATAGCGCTGTTGCAAGACCAGAATTCGTGTTTTGTTTGAAGGTGATTGCAAAATACTCTGCATTGATTGAGCCAGTAGTAAATAATATGCAGTCAAAATCAGTGGATATGCTGAAATGCAAAAGACACGTACAGAATATTATCTGCATTATTAGAGGCCATCGTGAAAAATCCGATAATGTGACCGAAAAACTTTTGGCAGAAGCGTGTCTTACAGCTGAGAAAGCAAATATTCAAATGACTCAACCAAGAACCACGCAGCGACAAAAACACAGGGCAAACCCACCTGCATCCTCAGATAAGGAATATTGGAACCGAGCATTGATGATTCCTTACCTCGATTCCCTTATTATGTCGTTGGAAACACGGTTCGGTGAAGATAATACTCCTGCTTATTCATTATCGCTGTTGCATCCTGCAAACATGTTGAAACTGACATTTGAGGACTTCGAGCGCGAAACCAAGTCTTTCGTAAATTTTTATGATATTGAACATTTTTCTGGAGAGGCGGAGTTGTGGTACCAGCATTACATCAGCATGAACTCAGAAGGCAAAAACATCGAAGAGCTTGATCTTATAGATCTTCTTGCTGAAGCCCATCCATTCTTCCCTGCCACTGCGAAAGCAATCAAAATTGCACTCGCCCAACCATGCACAACATGCACCATCGAACGTTCGTTCAGCACATTGCGTCGGGTGAAAACCTGGCTGAGGTCCACAATGGCTGAACAGCGTTTGAATGCTCTTTGCTTGCTGAGTGTTCATCGTCAGATGATAAAAAAAGATCGTTCAAAATTTGAGGAACTAGCGCTGGAGAGATTCTCTGAAGGTAAGAGAAGAATGATTCTGAAATAAGTATATTTTACGAAGCGTTATATTGTACTAATAATATAATATTTTATCACTATCAAATATGCCAACAATTCCCTAAAATAGTAAAATGTTTCTTTTCAAGACCGCCAAAACTCGGAAATAAAAATATTTTATTTTTAGTTATTTCTAGTTTTAATTGTTTATTGTGGTGACAAATCTTATGAAATCCAAATTAAGGTAAATCAAGGTAAAAATAAGTGATGGTCATTTAAGTTGTTTCCAATATTTTAACTTCAGAAATTGCAATGTGAATTATGAATTTTCAACCTTCAAACTGGTCATTGGTTCAGTTCTGCAACAAAAAAGGTAGGTTTAATTCATAGTTGAGATGCTAATTTCAAATAACAGACTAAAGTGGTCAATTTTATACGATAGATGAGGAGATGAAAGTCTAGAATTGATAGTTCCGTTAGAGTACGGCAGTATGAAAATTGTATATAGAAAGAGAAAGCGAGCAAGGAACATTGAGAAGGTACGAATCGGTCGTCATCTATTTTTGCTAAGCTCCTACATTGAAGAGGGATGGTGATGGGTTATCGGCCCCACTACCACCGCTGGCAAAAATAGAACGAAGACTGATTTGCTCATATACCTACGCCGTGGTGAAACAGTTCTATCGATTTGTACCCGCACTTAAGCTGCAAAAATAGAACGAATTTGTAAACCATGTTCTTCCAAATTCGAGATTTTTTTTTTATTTTCCCACGATCCCCAATTAAAAAACGGAAAGAGTTACGGATTATCAATCAATTAAAAGAACTAAATGATCAGCATATTTGTTCCGTCCACTAGCGGTCCTACGTCAAGCTTCCGTTCGTGCCCCTAGCAATAGACCCTTGTACTTTTTTAAAATAATTTTCACTTTCTGCTTGGGAAAATTCAGCTTCGATTAAATGATGATTGACTTAGTAGTCCGTCCGGTATAATAGTATTTGATATAATGGCGTTCAGCTAATCGGGGTCTGACATAATTCTCCAAATATAGTTTTTTTTTGCCCCCCCCCCCCTAATTTGAATCCTGGCTACGCCCATGTCTATATGAACGCGTCGTTGGGACGGTACTGATGGATATTTTAGGGCGCTATTGAAAATTTAGTCGATAGTTTAATTTTAGATATGGATGGAATGATAACACTGCACTGGTTAATTTCTTGGAATTCAAGACACGCCTACACTAATCAACCATCATCGAACCTACTCGATGAGGATATCAATTAACTAGGAAGAGCATGACAGAAAGATTCAACCACTCCTTGCGCACCACGAAGGAAACTGTTTTGAAAACGAAACTCTTTACCATCAAATTGGTCGTCCTGAAAAGGACGGATTTTGTTAAAGGGTTTCGATCGAATTTAGGCCTTCTTTTCGGTCTTCTTGGGCAACAGGACGGCCTGGATGTTTGGCAGGACACCACCCTGAGCGATGGTCACTCCGGAAAGAAGTTTGTTCAGCTCTTCGTCGTTGCGGATGGCCAACTGCAGGTGACGTGGGATAATTCGGGTTTTCTTGTTGTCACGGGCGGCATTTCCTGCCAACTCGAGAACTTCAGCGGCCAGATACTCCATCACGGCAGCCAGGTAGACGGGAGCACCGGCTCCAACACGCTCGGCATAGTTGCCCTTTCGGAGTAGACGGTGAATACGACCGACTGGAAACTGCAATCCAGCGCGGCTCGAACGGGACTTTGCCTTTCCCTTGACTTTGCCTCCTTTTCCACGTCCAGATATAATGCAATGTAAAATAGGTGAACCGATTTACGAACGACACAAGCAGTTCGATGCTGAAACTGTAATGATGACATTTCGACCGTCGAGGGTGGTGTTATGCCTGCGTCGAGTAGCATATTATGAATACAGGGACGGTATACAATAAATACTGTGGGTAGCAAAATACTGAAAGTCTCTACGGGCATGAAACGAGACAGCGTTGCCAGTATTCCTGATTTATTTGATTTTCCAGATTTTCAATCGTCTTGCCAGATACTTACCCAGATATAATTCACTTATATGTTATTACTTTTATTTCAAGAATTTTTAATTATGTTCCGGATTTTCCCAGATTTTTTTAAATATGTTGCTTTAGAGAATTTCCAGCCCAAAACGAAAACCGGTTGGAAATGAGCGTTTCCGAATTCAGTCCAATAGAGGCGATGGGGGCAAGAAGACCATACGGGGCGAGATGGGCCACCGTTCGTTTGGGCATAATACCTATTAACTTAATCTATTTTTTTTACATCTCCATGAAAACCGTATCAAAATTCAATAACATGTCTAAGATAATAATGGAAATGTAACATTAGCTCAAAATCTCTAGAATATTAAAAGATATGCAGTCAAGAAAACAAGCATCGCATTCACTATATTACATTTTACTGATCCACTGGTTCTACAGCGAGCAATACACGTAACTGTTGCTAAAAGAACTTATGTTTCTATTTCACTTGATTCCTGCATGTTATTTTCTAGTGAAAACCTGTCAAAACCTTAACTTTTACTAGGGTGCTCATATTGCCCCGTATGGTTGTTGATCGGAGCAAAAACTGAAATTTTTCAAACATAATCATTTATTCAGTCTATCATTCCAAAACCACAACCAAAACGGCCCTTTTCAGGGCTACCAATAATTCGACAAAGAGTTAGTTTTGAAGAAAATTTCTTTCCAGAATATCACAGCTACACTTAAATTTGGGGACTATACTGGGGTGTGGGAACGCTGGAAGGGGAGATGCTGTCTGTCTTCGAACTACCAACATCATTCCAAAGCTCCTCCAGGGCGACAGAGTAGAGCAAACCCAACAACATCAGCCCAACAAAACGGCCCTTTTCAGGGCCACCAAACTTTTGCAAAAGAGTTATTAAGGAATGTTCCTAAAATATAATATACACAATTAAGTACAACACATAACAGACGTTATCCAACGCCAACCCTGCGGTCGTATCTAGTATACAACCCTTCCAACTTTTTTTTTTATTTATTTCTACAGTAGCCCCTCTCTATCGTTCGGACATCAAATCAGCTTATCGTTTACCAAACCCTGCTGAGAAACCCTACCCTCTTACCCAACATCCCAGAAAGATTATTTTGTTAATCATAAAGTTTGAATTGATGCAATACCCAGTAGAGTAAAATAAAACTGTATTCCTTAATACCATCTATCCTTTTGTTATATTTTTCTGTAAAATATCAGTTTTTACCTATCATTACCAAAATTACCGGTTTCGTGAAAGAGCCTAAGTATTACCATCCCTACCGACCCTATTGAACATTCACTTCCACTTTCTGATGTTTTAGTACCTGAAAGTAAAAGAAAAAAAAAAACAAATTAAAATCAATTCAATGCGTGACTCACACAACTCGGGGCAATATCAATCTTCAAACCCCAGCGGCATTAATTTACAATGTAACAGAAATGAAACTCTTATCAACACTATTCCTAGCTGCTTATGCTGGCAATCGAACAACATCCGTTCATTTTATCGTAATCACACACTCTCGTTGCGCAATTCTTTAACCCTTAATATGCAACAAGTCTAAGCATGTCCGTTGTACAGGCTTCTTATCGCAAACCTCCCTCGAACACCACGCTTTATGCGAAGCCAATAAAATAGCCGGATCATTTAATAAATTACATCACTTCCAGTTTAGATCCCACTTAGAATAGATCTGCGAACCACAAGATGGGTCTCCCAGTCCAAACGATCATTTTCGTACTTCTAGCTGCAGCAAGCACTCTGGCAGCGGATGAGGCAAACAGTGTTGAACAGGACCACTCGAATGGTTTCGGATACGAAATCATACAAACCAAGCTGGAAATGCTAGAATTTCGGTAAGTATTAGTGCTACCTCAGTCAACACTGCGGAATCACCGAACCTTTTTCCCTTCCCCAAACTAGATTTTCGGAGCTATTCGTTCAACTGAAGGAGCAAGGAGAAACCTTCCTGAACAATCAACGTCGCGTGGAAGACGAACAGCGCCATCTGAACCAGATCGTTGATCGCTACGAGCGCAAAATCAGCAACCTAATTGTCGATCTGGAGGATTCCGTTGGGATCAATGTCTCCCGCATAAGCGACCAGTCGCGGCAGATACTGGAACTGCAGACCATCTGTTCCAATCACGATTCCATTCGTAGTCAGCTGTTCGAGATGCATCCGAAGAATACCAGTGCTAGGTCCGAACAATTGGCATCAGTCAAATTGACCGATCCAGAAGCGTGCGCAGAAAATAGTGATCAAATGTCCGGACTGTGTCGAATGCAAATTGGCTCGGAAGACGTGATGGTCTATCGGGAGCAAGTTCGTTTTGGAGGAAATTGGATTGTTGTCCTGCAGCAGATGGTTCGGAGGCATTCAATAGAAGCTGGGCTGAGTATCGCGATGGGTTCGGAGCGGTAGGGCAGGAATTCTGGATTGGTCTAGAGCGTTTGCATCTTTTGACGAAGGCTTCGACTCATGAACTTGCGGTTGAACTGGAGGACTTTGCGGGAAACTACCGCTACGCAAGATATGGAGAATTTTCGGTGGGACCTGAAGAGGAACAGTATCCGTTGTCGGTGCTTGGAGACTACGTTGGAACAGCCGGGGATTCTTTGAGAAATCACGTGGGAGTAAAGTTTAATTCTGATTACGTTCTGGGATGCGCCAAGGAATATGGAACTGGTGGATGGTTTTTCGCTGGTGAATGTTATAACGCGTAAGTATGTGTTTTTGATGTAATATATAAGTTTTTTGCATAAACTTTTTAATTACAGAAATATCATGGGCAGATGGCAAAACAGTGAAAAATGGCATTCAATTGTATGGGAAACATTCGCAACTGATGCAAACCCTCCAATGAAGTTCATTAGAATGATGGTGCGAAAGGTTTGAAGTTAAACTTGCATATCGTATATATTGCATATCGTATAATCAATATCTTCTGAAATGCGCCTCAAACATTAATCAACAATGTAATAAAAGGTACTGTATTCTCAAGTTTATCAAATCAATGAAATGAAATCCTATCCAAATTAAGTCCAGTTTTGCACAATTACCGAAGAAAAGATTGTAACAGGAATTGCACTTTCCCAAAGTTACAACCTCTTTCATTTTGAAACTTTCACAAAGCCAGAGAGAAGTAAAAATCTCCGCTTAACCGGAGAAGAGGCCAAAGCAGCCGCTCGCCCCCGCTGGAAACCGTCGGGAGTTAACTTTTGAAAAGGGGGAACTACGATCTCCATCTCAAACCCCCCTTTGTCACCTAACTACTACAAGAACGACGACAACCGAGTGGAAAAGAAAGGAAACAAGGATACCACAATTAGGTCTGATTAGTCTACTTGGTCCTCGCTGTACCTGGATGAGCGGGTGGTGTAGGTGGTTGGAAGCCCAGCCACCGAGTTGAGTCGACTTCTATAGTGTGTGCACTTGTTGTTTCTTCTTGTTTTGGAAAATTTATTATTGAATTTTATTTTTCTCAGCAGGAAACTTTCCTCGCTCTGTTCTCGCTAGTTTGCCTTCGAAAAAGGTAACCGAGCGAGCAAGAAGGTGGAAAAGTTTGCCGCTTTTAATCTTTCTAAATATTTGTAAAGTTTCACTGTCGTTGGTGCCTAGGTGCACTTTTTTTTCGTTTTCAATTTTCTCAATTTTATTATTCATTGCTTCGGAACAAGCAACTTGGCGAAATAAAAGACATGTCTCAAAGTCCAACTATTAGATTTTCAACAGGATTACCAGAGGAAGCCAAGTCTTGCCTCGTCTCACATGTGTGATACGATACACCCAAGTGAAGAAGCGTCTGAATTGAATTGAGCAGTCGAATAGACAACAACACCGGGTCGGGTCGGTACGAGCAAAAGGATTGCACCTTTCCCCCATTTTGCGACACCGACCCATCATGAATGGAGGAACGATTGACTTGTACCTAAACGGATTTTCTCCCCTCGATGTCGAAGTGGTGCGGAGTGCAGGGGCAGGTGGTTCCGAACATCCAGATGTCAAGTGATTTACATCTTCTTTTACAGCTTCCGTTATCAACAGCACTCAGTCAACCTCAATCATTTCTCACAGCCGTCTCCACAGCCGAATAGGGGATAAGAATGCAGCTCAAAGCTCTTGAATAGGTGAATCCGAATGATAAATGAAGCATCTCCCATCCGACCACCCACCCACACACACACACACACACCTACTGAACAGAGCGAGATAGACATAGTGTGTGCAGCAGCAGCAGCAGCAACACCACCGAAGAAGGAACAGGAAGATATTTGCATTTGTCTTTTCTTATATTGCTTTTTGTCTGAATGGCAGTCTGTCTGTCTTCCTGGGAAGCTGAAGTTTGTGGCTGCCCTGGCAGTCAGTCGTATTCTGAGTCTGGCTCGTAAGGATTTCAAAGGACAAATAAATGTGTGCTTATCGCTGTAAACGATTTCAATATGGGACCCTTGCTCACAGAAGCCCGAAACGAAGACGCAGGGGAAATAGATTTATGCTATTATATGCGGAGGAGTGATTTCGTTGAAGACCAGCACCGGGAACAATTGCTCCGGGTGGGAACATGTGGCACAGGATTGATTCGGAATAGAAATCGAGTGAGTGAATTTGCTTTATTGAGTTTCCCTAATGCCCCAGCCTCGGTGACTGCAGAAATGGGTTCTGCAACAAGTGAGTGTTGAAGTCCAATTTTGATAAGCTCCAGTCAATCCACATTGCTCTTGTACCGAACTAGTCGAACATATTGGCCGTTTTGAGCAAGTGTGCATTGAGTGGAAATGGAACATTATGGTCAATCTGTCCGGATGTGATTCGGAAGAGTGCTGCGATAAGCTGGTTCAGTTTATTGTGATGGAAAGAGGATCAATCACAAAACGTTCTTGTAAGGAGTGGAGAACTTAATACCGTATGCGTGATAATGTTTGCACTATCGTACAAATAAGGTTCCCGTTTCACCTGTGCATACAACGCCTTGGTTTTCTTTGCATGCACGTAACCTATAGCTCATACCGTAGTAGGCTGTGTATAAAAGAAAATGATTTACTTAGTTTGACAGTTGCACCACGGCGAAGTGGCAGCGTATTCGTGATTTGTCCCACGCGCAAATGTCGCAAAAAGACATTTCAATCGCCATGGGAGTGTCCCGGTGGACCGAGAAAAGAAAGGACAACTATCCGCGAAAGTGGCCACAGGTCGTCCGAGGTCAGATCGGGTTCCGAGGGTTATCGCTGCTATCAAAAGGAAGATTCGGGTGAATCAAGTGAACGCACTTAATAATGGAAAATGGCCAAGGAACACGGGATCAGTGACTTTACGGCACGGAAGATCGTAATGGAAGATTGCGGGGCGAACTCGATGGCACCTCTTGAACTTCCTTAAGAGAAAAAAATCCGGTAATCCTGTTCACCGACGAGAGCATGTTTACCGTCGATACCGTATCAAATTCTAGAACCGATCGGTATATTAGTTCTCTTCCGGTAAAAAAAACGTGGCCGAACCGCACTCAGAAGTGGTTGAAGTTGAAGGAACATCTTCCGTTCTGGGCGAAGGATATGTGGCCGCTATCCAGCCCCGATCTTAATCCGCTGGATTACTCAATATGGCGCGTCATGAAGGCCAAGGCCTGTTCTAAACGCCACCCGAGTATAGCAAGCCTCAGACAAACATTGACCCGTACCTGGAGAGAAATGGATCCAGACTACATTATTATATACAGAATTTTTTTTAATTTTGACATTGCTCAACGGGATTTTTCCTCAGATCAACGATAACTACGGTTTACAAATTTGGATCGAAGTTTTAGAAGTAGATCCAAAGTAAAATGAGGCCGGTACATATATTGAAGAAGGATGCTTATTTTTTTTTTCTTTGTTCAAAAGGGCTGTTTTCTTTTGGACAAGGGACGGACTTGGCGTAGAGGTTGACATTCATGCCTCTCACGATAAAGGTTACGGGCAAGCACCGTATGATATTAATAATTATGTTTGTCGATTAAAATATCGATTAACTTCATTTGCGTATTACTGTAGCCTGAGTGTTGAATGTGCAATATTGGTAATAGCATTGAATATTGATTCATTAATAAAAGTTATTTACAGATTGTAAGCACGATGGTTGCTCAATCAGCTTTGAGTTCTGGCATTACTTAGTTCAATACGTCAAATCTGACATCAGCACCGTATAGTTGATTGTTTTTAATGGTATGCGTGCTCAGAACATTTTGTCATTCGTGTATGTAGTGAAATTACGTGTATTTCTGTGAATTATGATTTTACATTGTTTTAACATTTAAATTGATTAGCTTATCAGGCTCTTCATTTTTGTTTTCTAATTTACGTATCCACGTTTTTCTACTAGTCTACAGAATACCCCTTGGGGGGTGTGTTATGTTTGAATTGAAAAAAGTGATAACCTACCTATCTACGAGTATAACTTAACCTAACGTGCTAGATCACGTATGATCTGATAATTTGATCTCAGACAGGTGTCTCTGAACCTTTCCAGGATGAATACTCTCCGTTCTTCTAATGTCTGAATTCCAGTCAGGAGGTGGATCTCAGAATTTTTAGGCCGCGGGGGACTGTTTAGGACTTTTCTAAGGATCTTGTTCTGGATCCTTTGGAGTTTAAGGTGATGGCATTTGGCGTAACTCTCCCAGATTGGCATCCCGTATTCTATTACGGGAAGGATGATTGGTTTGTAGACAGCAAGCTTAATTTTCAGGGATAGAGTATATAGTGACCGAGCACGATTCCAAATAAATTATGTGCAGCCGTCGCAACAATAGCCAACAGAATGCCGGTCGGTGCAATCGTACTCCAACACATTCCAGACTAAACCCATCAGTCGATCTCCTTCGATCAATACCGCATGCTATCTTTATCTCTCCTACTTTATTTCCTATAAGTCATCGCACTCTCATACGCTCACACGCCACACTCCACAAACGAGACGAACAACCCGAAACAAATACCTCTATCGGATTTCTATGTTCCGTTTTGCTTCGTATTTTCCGCTACACGAATTCTCTGTTGCATTCAGCGTTGCCAGTATTCCAGATTTATCTGGATTTTCCAGATTTTCGATCATTCAGCCATATACACAGGCAAATCACGTCTATTTCCAGATTTTAAAAATTTGTTCCAGATTTTCCCAGATTTTTCAAACATGTTGCTTTAAAAATATCATTGCATTTGATTTACACTCGAAACAAAAAAATAAAAACTGCTTCTTTAATTATTAAAGGCCATCAACGTTGGAAATTATTACAATATCGTACATGGAATTGTTACAACATGTTTGCATGTTAATGGGTTGCGGAATCATGAAAATGGAGCCATTTTCTAAAGATTGTTCGCTGAATAAAATCTTCAAACTTTTAAAAATAGTGGGCTTGAATGTTTGTTTAGATGGATTTTCCTTTT